CCTCGATTTCTCCCCTTGAAACCCATGTCACATACTCAATCGCTTAAGCGACTGCCACCATTGGATCCCCTCTCGTGTCCTCTTCCCCATCTTGGATCTCTGAAAATGTAGGAGCCCGGAAAGTCAAACATTTGATTTGAGAATCAACCATCTTCTTGCAGGAGAAATCAGGAGGACGGTGACGGTGGTGGTGTTGGAAGATTTTGAAGACCGGGGAAGAGAGGTTGTATGTTTCAAAATAACGGATTAAAATCAATTTTCCTTGATATTAATTAAGTAACCATCAGATTCAATCAATTGATAATTTAACTAGATGTAAAATATCCAAACTACAAAATTACCATTATATATATTTAATAAATAAAACTAATATAAATAAATGATTAGCTCACATTGGGTCTCATAGTTATCACATACTATCGAGTTCTCATTTGATTAACCCCCTATATGTGTGTGTGTGTGTAAGAGGCAATAAACACATATGGAATAAATCTGTTTGTTGTTTGTGTATGTGTATTGTATACAAACATATCTAATAATGATTTTGTGGTATACCAACACTTATAATGATGTTATCAAAGGTGTTTTATTTGATTTTTTTCACGAATTTGAAGGAATACGATACTTATCATAAAAATGAAGCATTTAGAAAAGATAAGGAAAGAATGAAATCGTTGTACGTCAACAAAACAGTGTAACAATGCTTGTCTACGGGTTATAGTATGCAATCCAAGAGATCAGGATTGAAAACTAGCTATTTGTAGAACTTTACATAGCGCACAACGTGACCATGGTTGGCTACTGCTTTGGTTTAACGTTGCATTCGGTTGGTTGTAACGTGATTTATTTAGGTCGAGAAAGAAAAAGATAAAGAACGAAACTATTTGTTTGGAAACAAGGTCCCTGGCTTAATATATGGTGGTTTGCGTCATAAATTCGTTCGTTTCAACATAACAACGACCATAAGACCTTAAGCTTTTGACCAAAAGACTAATGAATCGGAAAAAAATGATTCAAAGAGTGACACAGCTTAAAAAGCTCATTTTGTGGAATTTTCATCACATGTTTGACGGGTAACATCAAAGATATTATAGTGATTGTGTGGATTATGGCCATTATATATATGATTCGATCTCAGACACAAATTTCATAAAGCAAGAGTTATGGCATCGACACTTCTACTAGTTGGCCTACTTGCAAGCCTTCTCGCATTCGCAGGTCTCTCTTTCCGTTCCTTTAATCCATCTTAACAAAAGTAATTATTCAAAAAATACGATTTTTATGTTTATTTGTATCGTTTGTATGGTATAAGATATAATGAACTTGTAGCTAGATGCAAATATATGTATGGATATGGGAATACTTGCAACCTGTGTCATGAGAGGACCTATACGGGGGTATATATTGGTATGTGTCACCACTTCATGGTTCTGCTGTAGTTGGAAAAAAAAACATTTCTGAAATACGTCATCGTAATATTTTATCGTGTGTCCCTATCTATACTATATTATAAAGCATTTGACAAAAACTCTTAAAAACCACTTTTTATGTGTAAAATATTGTTTATTAATGCATATTACTTAAAACTCAAGATTGCAAGTAGATTGTGCATAAATACAATTTATTAAAGCTCCATATCTGAATTCGTGTAACTAACTGCAGATAAACATAATCTAATACAGGATAAACATCTCATTTTAAATACAAAAAATCTAAAATATAATTAGGATAATCATTGAGTTCTAACAAAATACTTAATTATTTTCTTTATAAAATGTTATACTATTAAACCAAAAATAAATTATTTTGTTATTAAACTTAAATTAAA